ATGTAAAGATTTCTACAGCTGATACTGCTTTACTGCTTTGAGTCCAACACTTGGCAATTAAGGGGATTCACAGGAAAGAACATATGTTATATAGCCACTGAGAAGTGAAAAGATTAATTTTAAAATTACTTTTATCCATCACACACATTCCTAATCAAATTCAATCTACAAACATTTATTTATTTGTATTTATTTATTTTACTCATTTTTAAACATTTAAAATAGAATTAACCAGTACTCTCAATATTTTGGTTAAATTAAATGAATAAAGAGAAGCTTCATATATGTTTGAGGGGTTTGCCACATATTAATGTATCATTTCACATGAACTGTGCTGTTTTGAGGTATTTGTGTTTGTGTGGCTAATGGTTCGCCCCCATCATGTAATATTTTTATTGACACTGTGTGTGTGTGTGTGTCTAACACCTGGCTGTGACTATATGTGGCCCTGTCAAGAAAGTGCAGCGACAGCCTTCAGCTGTCTGCTTTCACCGACTTCTGTGGATACATACCATTATTGCTTTTTCAAACAGTATTTTAATGCAAATTCATGTCTTCCTGCAGTAATTGTAGCCTTCATTCAAGCTGAAAACATGTTTTTAAAAAGATAATATTTTCAAATCATATCCACAAAGGTTCAGGAAACACAAATGATATACTCTAGCTATTTGCTTCTGGGTTTAACATAAAGTAATACATTCTTGTGTTAGTAAAGGATGGGCTAAGAAAGCAAAGAAAATTGATTGGACTGAATAGAAAAATAGACTGACAGTTGAGATATAATGATCCTGCAACCATGTGACAAAACCAAGTGTCAAGATGATAAACGGCATCAAAACTGGAAGTTTTAAATGTGAAGAAGCTTGATCCTTGCTTACTTAAACCTTAATTAGGTGCAGCCTAATTAAGGTTTAAGTAAGCTTAATCTTCAGTGAGTGTAACTTTTTTCTTGTAGTTTATTCAGATACAGTTCATAGTAATATATGGTAGGCTTAGTGCACCATGGATGCTTTTATTTTCAATGCAAAGCACCAAGAATTTCATTATTAACATGCCACATGGCAAATGTCACAAGGCTTTGCATAGCATTTTAAAATATTCCATATTTATCTGTTACTCATCACTTTCTAATCATCTCGATCGTTGATGCTTCGTGCCATCCTTTCCAGTGTTGTCAGATCAAACAATGTCAAAGAACCCCAATGTTCGAACTCCAGGATGGGAACATTTTTCAAAAACACTTATTAAAAGACTTTTAAGTAACAAAAAAAAGATACAAAGCTACCTTAATGCAAGAAAGGGCAGGGGGCAATACCAAGTTCAAAGTTTGTACAAAGTTGCAAACACTTAAACTTGTGACTATTTTAGCTACAGGAAAAACCATAGTTACATGTTACCAGCAGGCAGAGGTGGGTAGTAACTAATTACCTTTCCTCAGTTACATTTACTTGAGTAACCTTTTGGAAAACAATTACTTTTAGGAGTAGTTTTACTTTTTACTTTTACTTGAGTAATATTATTATAAATCGCTACTCTTACTTGAG